TATTGTACAAGTAGATTGAAAATTGCAAGATAAATGTCACTATGGCATTGCATTGCAATTTCACATGATGATGTATCTAACTGCAATACTGTTTATTTATTATTGTATTACACTAATTAAAAATAAATATTTCTTTTATTAAAATGCACATTTAATAAACATATTACAAATGGTAAAGGTAGTTTAATTAAAGAAACATTGTACTAAATGCCATAATTTATGTGATTACCATAAATTAATTAAATTCTAATCAACTGTAACATACATACTAAATACATATATATTATGTATGGTATAGTTGATTAGAATATATATAATAGATAAAAGGAATAAATTTAATTATATTTGTGAAACAGAACATTGATAGTCACAGTGCTTATAAAACATTTTATAATCAGTCTATTTATTATGCTGATAACATTCACAGAAATCTTACCTATAAGTCACTACTTAACTGATTATTTTGTATTATAATATAAATAATCTAATTACTTATAATAATTCATAATTATTGTACAATATCTATTTCAGGAAATCTTTTCATTTTAAGAATTTTGAAATTAAAACTATAGCCTACTTCTACATTAATAACATTTTATATGCGGCTGGATGGCCGAGCAGTCAAGGTGGCAGACTACCACTCTGGGGGACCCGGGTTTGAATCCAAACAGGTCGAAAAATTGGATATGTCAGGCCCCGTCCCTCACAACCCGGCAGCCCCATTGTGGGCCTGGACGAATCCATAATGGGCCTGCAAAAAGAGGCCCTCTTAGTGCCCACAGGGCGGAAAGAGTAAAAAAAAAAAAAAAAAACATTTTATATGCATATTCTATATTTAATATTTCATATTCAATAACTTACTAATAGCCTATACCTCCATATTGATTTACTACATAACAATATTCATACATAGTAATCTTTTTGAAGTTATTCAAGATTATTAATCAACTAATTTATTAGTGTCAATAGTTATTTATAATTTCTTATTTCTTCACACTATTCAATATGACTCATATTTCTTATTAGGGTTAATGTATTTATATATATATATATATATATATATATATATATATATATATAAGTAACTCTTTGTCTTATATAATAATGATGAGTGAATCATATGGAATATGAATTTGCCAGAAACTTCAATGCCAATCTGAAAATTGAAAATTCAAATTTCCAACAGCTATAAAAAAAATCTAAATATCTTACTTTGCTTTAGAAGAATGACATCATTTTAAAATATCTTTGCTGAAAAACAAGCAAAGAAGTCTTAATTAACTTTCATTATATCCGTACAAATATTGTTTATATGAACTTAATAATCTTTGTATCTTTTTAGTAATACACTGTATCTAAATATATAGTTTAACTCATGCTGATTATTAATTCAGTCACTGAATGAAACTGATAACATTACAGAAAAATTATGTTTATTAAACAAAATATGATAAAGAATAAAGATACTTTACTAATATTTTTAGTCTATTTAAAAGTAACTATTTAAAACAAATGAAGATTATCTAAGCAAACTAAAAATATTAAATGTTTTTGTATTATTTTATTATGGTTTTAAAATTTTTAAATTACATTATCATCTTATTTTATTTTATCTTCAGTTTCATGTAATAGTTGATTAATATTGATGAAACAAACTAATCAATTCTCTCTTAAAATTTATTAATAAAGCACAAAGTTTAAAAAAATAATATTTATAAAAATATTCTATTAATATTCATTATATTGATTATATACACTAAAATATTTTAACTTTACTATATATAGACTCATAGAAATATTTATTGTCTAATTTTTCATTTTGATTTTTATAAATAATTTTAACAGTCAATTAAAAAAACCAAAAATAGCTTGTTGAATAGAAAATTTAGATATAAATTTTTAATTCAAATACGACTACAAATCACACAACTGTAGGATGTAAAACAAAACAGGAAACAAAATTTATATCTGCCTCTAACTGTAATATTACAAATGAACACTAAATACTTTGTCAAATGTAATTAAACATATACTCAAAATATGTCTCTATTTCTAATCTCTATTTATTAACAATTCCATAGGTTGAACACTGATCACTGTGCTATATATTTAAAGAAGTCTTTTTTAACATTGGCTGTGTTCAGCATACTCAACAGTCGTAACCAAGCAAATTGGTAGCCATTACATAGCAACCTGAATCTGCCGAATGATGAGCGACATTGTGTTGGAACAAAAAGTCTCACCAGTCAGTTTTGGGTAGTGATAGGTAGCATAAACGAAAGACACCAAACACGTTCCGAAAGAGCACTACCGTAGAGGGTGTTTGGCAGAAAAATACTCGACAGCTCCAGAACCGTCGAGTCCACCAAATGCGGCCACTAACTTCTTTAAATGCAAAGCATACAGTTATCAGTGTACATGAAATATGAAATAATTATGATATATTTTGTGATAATATAAGTATCTCAATATCAGCTGCAACATAATGTTAAAACTTTAATTCTTATTAAGTGAAATGTATAACCTACACACAATTTATTGAATTGTTTTAATGTTCTGTATACTTTTATTGTATTAATGATCATATTATTGTTAATTGACCAAAATTAGTATTTTTATTTCAAATAAAATGAATTATTTCTAACGTTTCCATGTTAAAACCTTAAAAACTTTTATTATTTTTATAACTGTTAATNATATATATATATATATATATATATATAAGTAACTCTTTGTCTTATATAATAATGATGAGTGAATCATATGGAATATGAATTTGCCAGAAACTTCAATGCCAATCTGAAAATTGAAAATTCAAATTTCCAACAGCTATAAAAAAAATCTAAATATCTTACTTTGCTTTAGAAGAATGACATCATTTTAAAATATCTTTGCTGAAAAACAAGCAAAGAAGTCTTAATTAACTTTCATTATATCCGTACAAATATTGTTTATATGAACTTAATAATCTTTGTATCTTTTTAGTAATACACTGTATCTAAATATATAGTTTAACTCATGCTGATTATTAATTCAGTCACTGAATGAAACTGATAACATTACAGAAAAATTATGTTTATTAAACAAAATATGATAAAGAATAAAGATACTTTACTAATATTTTTAGTCTATTTAAAAGTAACTATTTAAAACAAATGAAGATTATCTAAGCAAACTAAAAATATTAAATGTTTTTGTATTATTTTATTATGGTTTTAAAATTTTTAAATTACATTATCTTCAACATAGCTCTCAATTTTTAAAGGCATAATGTAAGACAGNAATTACTTGTAATCAATCTTAAAAACTCGTAAAAAATCTTTCTTAAAGCTTATTTTTTGTTTATATTATCCCATTCAACACCATTTGAAAGAAAATTTCTTTGGCATGAAATAATTCGTTGATGTAAAATAATCTATAAGTGTGATTTTTTTTCCCATCTAAATCATTCATTGACTAATTTTTTATTTTAACAGTCAATTAAAAAAACCAAAAATAGCTTGTTGAATAGAAAATTTAGATATAAATTTTTAATTCAAATACGACTACAAATCACACAACTGTAGGATGTAAAACAAAACAGGAAACAAAATTTATATCTGCCTCTAACTGTAATATTACAAATGAACACTAAATACTTTGTCAAATGTAATTAAACATATACTCAAAATATGTCTCTATTTCTAATCTCTATTTATTAACAATTCCATAGGTTGAACACTGATCACTGTGCTATATATTTAAAGAAGTCTTTTTTAACATTGGCTGTGTTCAGCATACTCAACAGTCGTAACCAAGCAAATTGGTAGCCATTACATAGCAACCTGAATCTGCCGAATGATGAGCGACATTGTGTTGGAACAAAAAGTCTCACCAGTCAGTTTTGGGTAGTGATAGGTAGCATAAACGAAAGACACCAAACACGTTCCGAAAGAGCACTACCGTAGAGGGTGTTTGGCAGAAAAATACTCGACAGCTCCAGAACCGTCGAGTCCACCAAATGCGGCCACTAACTTCTTTAAATGCAAAGCATACAGTTATCAGTGTACATGAAATATGAAATAATTATGATATATTTTGTGATAATATAAGTATCTCAATATCAGCTGCAACATAATGTTAAAACTTTAATTCTTATTAAGTGAAATGTATAACCTACACACAATTTATTGAATTGTTTTAATGTTCTGTATACTTTTATTGTATTAATGATCATATTATTGTTAATTGACCAAAATTAGTATTTTTATTTCAAATAAAATGAATTATTTCTAACGTTTCCATGTTAAAACCTTAAAAACTTTTATTATTTTTATAACTGTTAATAAATTACTAATAATAAACCTGAAATAAACACATAACTGTAGTAGTTCGTATTTTATTCAAATGCATTAAAAATTATAATTAAAGTAAATATTAAGTTAAAATCGCGATTAATCTATTATAATTAATGAATTTGACGTCATAAGGTGCTTATATTATGGGTTAAATATACGTAGAGAAGGTGAAATGTACAAATAATAGGGCAGACCGAACAGATCGGATATTCGACGCATAACAACACAGATGAGATGGCGATTGTTTTCGATATTCAATCGCTTTCACATCGATCTACGCCATCTTAAAACACTAATTAATGGTAAATTAATGGTAAATTATATTACAATTTAAGATTGATTTTTGGAAACAAAACATCCTTCGACATTGACGTCATTAGCATAAACTTGACCCGAAGAGAGAACACAAGGCTCGACTTGTAATCGATCGTACGATGTTATTGCAAAACGTACATTAACTGAAGTTATACGGAAACTTTTATTTACATTCCTACCTTTCATATTTGTGTCAATTCGTACGATAATCTAATATCCTTAGCGTAGAAATATGCTCCGAGTGTTGTATATAATAACACTAACCCACCCCACCGCCATGTCTTCCACACAGCCTCGTACGCAGTCGTGGCGTGTTTCGAAATCGAGGTTGCGAAGTATCCGAGTCGAGAGTTTTTAAGCCGCCATTTTTTTTTTTTAGATAAACAGATCAATGTGGACGACTTTGGGTTTTCCATGATTTAGTAATACAATCGCTTGCATTAGCGTTTTATCCCTGACATAATTTATTTTTTATTATTTCTTTTTAATGTACAGGTCAGTTTAATCTTCGTAGGTTGTTATTTAATAATTTTAATTTGAAATTTGAGAGTTATTTTGTTCTTAAATTAATTATGCATGATAATTACTTCTTTACTAATTAAAAGACCCCTTAGCCAAACCAATGTCATGATAATAAGGCTGATCTCATATACACTGTGTTACACAATTATTAATTAATGGTAGAAGTATGAAATTGAATAATTTGAGATTAATAATCAATTTCTTTAATTGTTACAGGTTTTCAGCATGAAATCTATCTTTGTTACTGTAGGAACTACATCATTTGATAAACTTATTAGAAGAATCTGTTCATTGGAAGTGCTGCAGGTAATACTTGCAATTGCAAAATTTACTATGATACACTTCTTGTTTAGTCTTCATATGTATTAGTGAGCACTATGTCGGCCTTATTTATTGCTAGACTTATTACATTGTCACCAGACGCAAGACTGGCCTTAGAAAATCACTTTATTTTTCAAAAAATAATGCATTTCAGATCTTAAGTCCCTCGTCAGCATGTTGCAATATAAATAATTATGAAATTGATGCCACCACATTTATGAAAAATACAATAAAGTATTTTACCAAACATCGTGATTTTATTGTACTTTTTGTAAGTGTAGTGGCATCAATTTCATAAATTATTTATATTACAACATGCCAACAAGGGACTTAAGGTATGAAATGTATTATTTTTTGGAAAAATAAAGTGATTTTCTAAGGCTGATCTTGTGTCCAGTGACAGTGTAATAAGTAGCAGTAAATAAGACTGACATAGTGCTCACTAATATAATTTAATATTAATTACAGTGTAAGATTTTCAAAGCAGATAGTGAAATATAATTACTTGTAATCAATCTTAAAAACTCGTAAAAAATCTTTCTTAAAGCTTATTTTTTGTTTATATTATCCCATTCAACACCATTTGAAAGAAAATTTCTTTGGCATGAAATAATTCGTTGATGTAAAATAATCTATAAGTGTGATTTTTTTTCCCATCTAAATCATTCATTGACTAATTTTTTTTCAACAGATTTCAAACAGATTGACAATTAGGGATTGTAAATATTAACTTGGTCAAGGATAATTTCAAAAATTAATTTGGAGTCTTGAGCAATTTGTGATATAATAAAATTAAGGCCATATTTTTTTTATCTTGATTGTATCTTAAATATTATTAGAAGAAATTTCTTTGATTAAATGTGAAGTATTTTCTGTAAATATTGAGATAAATTTATTTATTAATTATTCCCAATAAAATAAAATAATCTATGTAAAGCATGTGTTTACTATGTGAATAACTTTTTCAAAAAAAAAATATATAGTTCCAAGTTATTTGTTAATCACTAGAAGTTTTGTAAATTGGTATTAATTTTTTAAAATTTAACTGGAGAAAGACAAAATATTTCTATTTAAAAATCGTAATACTAACTTACACAATCACCTTCTTGTAAATCAACAGACTAAAACACTAATTTACACCAAAGCAAACATTTTCAGCCATTATTGTGATGTTACAAATAGGCCAGTTTTTAAACTAATTGAACATCAAACAATTTTCCCATATTTAAAATAGTTACATTTAATATTACAATTGGTTTAAACTTTAATTATTTTAGCAGAAATAGTTAATGTAAACAAAATAAATGTATTATTAAAAACCAAGCTAAAATATAATGCACCAAATATATAAATTATATTTTTTCCGGATATCATAAAAGGATCTCCATGCTTGAACACCTCGTGCTCATCCTTTAAGTTCACCAACCTTACCCTTCATTTTTCATCTATACATTTCTAAGACTTAGAAACCAGATAATTCAAGCTAGCTTTCACCTTTATCAGTCTGATTATCCTTGTATTCTCTCAGTTTACATAAACTATCTCTTTCATAGCATATATTGCCAAAGCCATGGAAGGTGTTCCTTTCTGGATTGTATGATGATCTTTAATTCTACTTATCAAAGAGTGTCATTGCACCAATATATTCATTGTCTTGGCTATTCCTGTCATCCATGAGTGAGACCCTGATTGCAAAGACACTTTATGATTAACAGCTGAATGGCATCTAGCTGATGGCTAGCTGAATTGCAGTTTAAAATGCATTGCAAAGATGACAGTTGTCTATTTCTGAATGCTATCTAAATGAATCTCAACAAAACATTGGCTACTACTTTTTTCACCATTATTCTCATCTTTTAGTTGTTGGGTTATTCATTTGTGATGCCAGAAAAAAAACTCAATAAGGTTGCCAGCTATCTTTTGAAAGCTTTTTGTAATGTAAAATCTTAAGGTCGTCAACAACCGTTGTTGGGCAGTTAATGACAATCCTTTTTCCATTTTAATTTTTAATTTCATAGCCAATTCAATTTAAAATATGAACAAATCCAGATTTAGAAATTTATGCCAAATTCAGAATTTATCTTTGGAATATATTTTTAAGGAATTATTTCAATATTGTATTACTCTCTCCCTTTGTAGTTGTCGAAATGAATATTTTTAAATATTTTATTTTTATTTCTATAAAAAAGTTTTTGTAATTACTAAAATTGTCTTCTTTTGTTTAACAAAATGTTTTGACAAGGGAAATTATAACAATAATGATCTCAAAATGCATTAATGTTTTATGACCAACATGACACTTGAATTATAAATAAAAGCATCTGATTTAATTGTAATCCTAAATTTTCTATTCATTTGAATGTTGGAATTGAAACATTTAAAACTAATTTAAAGTATTTAATTATATTATTTCTGATCCAAGTAATTAATTAATGAATAATTTTGTTGATTCATCCCATTTACAACATTTATCAAACAAACAGTATTCAATTTTATCCAAACTTTACAACGAACAAAACAATGTAGTGACTTCAACTTGAATTAAAATGCCATCTAAACCTGCTATCTTAGAAAGTAGGTCAAATAACCAATTTCTAAATGCTCTCTAAACTGGCAAGCAAGAAACATCTCTGCAATGAATTTTTCTGAACCACAATCTAGACTCTAGACAATTTCTAAATCGTCATCAGTGTTTAAACATTCTCTTTGCAACCGGCCCTATATATTCCAGTATCTTCTTAAAATACACTGGAACTTTGTCATTTCTGAGGATCTTGTAGACATTGGGATTTTTCTTGTAAAATACATCTGTATCCACAGAATACATGATCTCCTTATAGATGGTATGAATGTGAGCATTATAACTGATTATTTTATAATTTACATTTTGCTTATATGGTGGACATTATTAAGGTTCTTTATCTGATTCATATTTTGTGTAATCAGTGACGTTAGCTTTTAATTGGAAAATTTGATAAACTTATAAGATAAATTGGGAGCTAATTTTAAATCAATAGATCTGTAATGGAACTTTTTACACTATATCATTGTAAAAATTTTTAAAAACTTAGTATTGAGCATCATTTTATTTTACAATGAAGTTGTAATCTCTGAAGATGCAATTGTTTAATATATTGAAAAAATTCTCACGGTTTGCAAGGATGATTTAATTTTAAATTAAATTTAATTTTTTGATTGAGTATCAGACAAAAAATGTATTTCTTATGTCAATTTGTAAAATACACCTACCATATGGATGTGCCTCATTGCTCCAGAGATTGTTTGAAAAAGCCATTTAGACAACAAGTTGTAGAAAATACACTCTAATAAGACAACCCATTGATCTAGAAAATTATTTGTATGAACAGTCAGATAACTTGTTAAAGAAAGTCAGTGCCAGAGTAGTTGACTTGGCCAATCAAATGACCAATAGAACACACAGAAACAATTGTTTAATATAGAAAGTTCTATTTATAGGTGTAGAGCTACATTATCATAAAGCAGCTATGAATTTAATTTGAACTTTATTTTTACTTATTAAATTTTTTAATTGGCTATTAAATATTTGATAGATAGTACATACAGTAATCTTTTTGTATTTAAAAAATTAAAAGATTTCACAAACCTTATGGGGGTCCTGTTGGATTTGAATGAACCTTTGATATTTTGTAGTTCTAGTGGTTCTGATCAAAAGTTTCCAAAGTCAAAAAAATGGACAGTTTTTGAGCATTAAAATTAAAAAAGCATAATTCATAAAGTGTTTTGAAGCTCTAAAATCTTATTCATTCAAAATATAAAATTACTAGCAGATGAGCTTGGTGTTGCTTGAGCAAAAAAACAACAACAAAGAATAAAATTATTATATTATTTAGTACTTCTAACTTTTCTGTTATATTATATTATAATATTTGATTTATATTTAAAAAGATTATCTTACATAAGAGTTTATCAAACCAAGTGCCCAATCTAATGCATTTTAAAAATTCTTTAATATATCTATTTTGTTTGTGATAAATAAAAAAATAATTTCGGACAATACTATAGCCATAATTTTTCTTTTCAAAAACGTGTAATTTTTGTTAGGTGTAACATCAAAGAAATCTCAACATGATGTCACAGGCAACAGAGAAGGATTTAAACACCCGATAGGTTAAATTGTGTACAGTAGAGGAATAAAGAATTTTTAAAATGTGTTAGATTGATTACTCAGTGTGATAAACCCTTATGTAAGATATCCTTTGTAGTTATATAAATCAAATACTATAATATAACAAACATTAAAATGAAAACCATATAAAGTATTTGGTTATTTTAGCCTACTCTCTGGCTCCCAAGGTTTTCCAATAATGACAGAGATGACAGGGATAAACTGTGAGAGTTGGACTGCACCAAGACTCAACCCTTAGCCTGTTGCTGTTTGATTTGATAATGGATGTATTGGTGAAAGATGTGAAAAGCAAGGCATCGTGGAGAATGCTATGTGAAATATCCCAAGATAAGATAGAGAAGAAACTGGAAGAATGGAGGAAAGTGCTGGAAGAGAAAGTCATGAAGATCAGCAGAGCAAAGACAGTATATGTGATATTTGGTTAGGGAATGAAAGTTATATACAACTTCAGAATGAAAAGTGAATAACAGCTTTCAAATTTAGATATCTTGGATCAAATGTAGCATGTGATGGAGGAATGAGTGCAGAAATCCAGCATAGGGTTTAGAGTGGATGGCTGAACTGGAAAAAGATGAGTGAGGTGCTGTGTGATAAGAAAAAAGTTGCAAAGTGAAAGGAAGATTATACAGAAATCATGGTAAGACCTGCAATGATGTACAGTGCTGAGATTTGGGCAACTACAATAGCCCGGGAAAAGAAGATGGAGACAGCAGGGATGAGAATGAGAATGCTGAGATGGATGTGTGGTATATCAAAGGACAGAATTAAGAATGATTACATAAGAGGAGCAGTCAAGATAGATTCTATAAGTAAGAAA